GAAGTGCGAGTTGGATATCAAAAAATACTATGATATCATCCAAGAAGATCGAGTTTATATTTTCTTGGATGGTTTGGATGATCGACTTGACAAAGCCCGAAGTGACGTGCTCCAAATAAGTCCATTTCCTACAGTAGAGCAAGCCTATGCTCATGTTCGACGGGAAGATATTCGACAAGTTGTGATGTTAGGAGCTTCAACACCAACCGGAGTAGGATTGGCAACAAAAGGAACATACCGACCCTCTCGCCCAACACCAACCCCAGTTACTGCTTCTCTCCAGCTACAGACCACTACCAACAAGACTACTCCACCACCTTCTCGACCCAAGGCTCCCACAGATGGGAATGGTTGCACTCACTGCGGGAATCCAAAGCACACTCGAGAAACTTGTTTTAAATTACATGGTTATCCAGATTGGTGGGAGGGTCTCAAGGCTCGTAAACTTGCTGCTGGAGGAACGGGTCGTGCTGCCCTTGTCACCATGGATTCTCCGATAACATTAATTCCTCATGAAGAATCTACCTCAGCACCAGAAAAGAACTCTTCATCTTTCAGTGACTCAGGTAACTGTGGATATGTATTTCATACATCATATACAAGTGACTCCACATGCTGGATTATTGATTCAGGAGCCACAGATCATATGACGTTTGATCCAACCGATTTTCTAAGTACAACTACACCACAACGAACAAGTATTGCCAACGCAAATGGTGTTACTTCTCCCGTGGTTGGTGCTAGAACCATTGGCCTCTCTCCATCCCTTACTCTTCAAACTACTTTGCTTGTCCCATCGTTGTCTAATAAATTGATGTCTGTTGGCCAAGCTACTGAGCAACTAAATTGTTGTGTACTCATGTATCCCGACTTCTGTTTATTTCAGGTTATTCTCACCAAGGAGATCATTGGTCGTGGTACTAAGAGAGGGGGGTTGTACTATGTGGATGATTTCAGTATGGGAAAGGCACATAGTGTGAAGCACTCATCGACTTGGAAGGATCGACAACTTTGGCTATGGCACCGGCGTTTGGGGCATCCGTCTTTTGGCTATATGAGACATCTATTTCCAGATTTGTTTTCGAATTCCTGTACCACTGATTTCCAATGTGATACTTGTATTTTAGCCAAGAGCCACAGAGTCTCTTATCCATTAAGTACAAATAAAAGTGTTGCTCCATTTGCTTTGATACATTCTGATGTTTGGGGTCCTTTACCTATCTCTACAACTTCTGGCTTCCGGTGGTTTATTAGCTTTGTAGATGATTGTACCCGCATGACTTGGCTCTTCATGATGAAAAATAAAACTGAGGTGTTCCCTATATTTCAGTCATTTCACAAGCAAATTGAAACTCAATTCTCTACCAAGATTCAAGTCCTTCGTTCTGACAATGGGGGTGAATATATCAACCATGATTTTCAGACTCACTTCCAAATGCATGGCATCATCCATGAAACCACTTGTCCTCAAACTCCCCAACAGAATGGTGTTGCGGAACGAAAAAATCGACACTTTCTTGAAACAGCACGAGCTCTTTTGATTGGAGCTCATGTTCCTCGCCA